GGAAAATGTTCACATATTCAAAAATTGTTTGCAAAGAAAATGTTGACACCTTCAAAAAATGTTCGCAGATTGAAGAAGGTGTTCATGACTACAAAAATGCTCACCAATTCAAAATATATTGGAAGCAAATTTTAAAAAAATTGCGAATGCAAAATATGTTCACGTATTCGAGAAAATTGTTCACGTATCAAAAATTAATATTTCGTGAATTGTAATATTATTCACAACTTCGAAAAAGTTCGCGAATGAAAAATATATTCAAGTATTTGAGAAAAATACTCAGGTATTGTTTGAACATATTGCTATGGCAGCATGTCACGTCTTGCTCATGTGATTCGAGAAGACGGAGCTGCTTCGCCTGCTTGAACATATATGCATGGTATTGCAAAGGCAGCATGCTCACGTCATGTTTAAGCATTCGAGAAAAATGCTCACGTACTTAAAGGCAGCATGCGCTTGAACTGGGCTGTGGGCATCAGCCCACGAACTGGGCCGGCCTCGTTCGTTTCGATCGCGGTGCACGTCACCTCGACGTTAACCGGTCAACAGTTGACCTTTTGGAAAAATAAGATTTTTTTAATAAAGATTCCAAAACAAAAGAAAATTTTCGTGAATTCCAAAATGTTCACGAATTTTTAAAGAAAGTTCACAAACTTGAAAAATAGTTCACAAAAACAAAAACGTTCATCCATTTTTTTTTAAAAGTTCAGCAATTTTGTAAAAAAAAATCCATCAATTTTCAAAAAAAATATGAATTAAACAAAAAAATCATCAAATTTGAACCAAAAACCAGCAATTTGGAAAAAAGTTTGCCGATTTTTAGAAAAATTCCTCGGATTTGAAATAAGTGCATCGAATTTGAAAAAAATCATTGATGTTGAAAAAATACACCAGATCTTAAAAAATGTTCACCAAATTCGATGAACCTTTTTCATCGAATTAGAAAAAGGAAAAAAAGATAAAGATAAAAGAAAAGGAAAATGAAAAGAAAAAAAGAAAGAAGAACGAAGGAATGAAAAGGTTGTAAATAACCACATCGGGGTGATTAGTCTAGTTGGCTATCGTAGCTAGCTTGCATGAGGAGGTCACAGGTTCGAAGCTTGATGCTCGCTCTTTTATGGGTCGGCCCAGCTCGGTGCGGGGTGTGTGTGCCCGTTTGCGTGCACCAAAGGAACATGCACAAAGGGTGTTGTTTAGGATTTGCCCGTTAAGGAGGTTGTGCTGGGTAACTCAATGCAACATTAACTCGATCTCTGGCCCACTAATGTAATTGTGTTGGGTCTACCAAAAAAGCATTATACACGATACCGTGAGCAGGCGAGGACGAGCACTCTTGTGAACTTTTGACAAACTTTTGTACTATTGCTATTCTTGATTCATTGACTAATTTAAGTCAAATTGTGACTCCACCATCACCACAACTAGCTTCACATACACATGACACACAATCTAAAACATCACATGTAGTTGATATTGCCTCTCATGAAATTGGTGATAATGCTGCTTCTTGACTTGATGATACTGTTCCACTTGGATAATTTTTAGATGTTCATATTGCAAAAGATAAAGAACTTGAAAATTCTTATAATCTTGATGAATCACCTACTACAACTTTTATGAGAATGTGGGATCGAAAGTATGTCTAGAGGGGGGGGGGTAGACTACTTGACCAAATAAAAATCTAGCCTTTTCCCAATTTTAGTTCTTGGCAGATTTTAGCAACTTAACACAAGTCAAGCAATCAGCCTACACATGCAATTCTAAGAGTATAGCAGCGGAATGTAAAACAATTGCATATGAAGGTAAAGGGGACGAGTTTGAGGAAGCGAACGCAATAGGAGACACGGATGTTTTTGTCGTGGTTTCGATAGGTGGTGCTATCGTACATTCACGTGATGGAGACTTCAACCCACAAAGGGTAACGGCTGGGCGAGTCCACGGAGGGCTCCACCCACGAAGGGTCCACGAAGAAGCAACCTTGTCTATCCCACCATGGCCCTCGCCCATGAAGGACTTGCCTCACTAGGGTAGATCTTCACGAAGTAGGCGATCTCCTTGCCCTTACAAACTCCTTGGTTCAACTCCACAATCTTGACGGAGGCTCCCAAGTGACACCTAGCCAATCTAGGAGACACCACTCTCCAAAAAGTAACAAATGGTGTGTTGATGATGAACTCCTTGCTCTTGTGCTTCAAATGATAGTCTCCCCAACCTCAACTCTCTCTCACAGGATTTGGATTTGGTGGAAAGAAGATTTGAGTGGAAAGCAACTTGGGGAAGGCTAGAGATCAAGATTTATGTGGTAGGAATGGAATATCTTGACCTCAACACAAGTGTAGGTGGTTCTCTCTCAGAAAATATATGTTGGAAGTGTAGGCATGTTCTGATGGCTCTCTCCACGAATGAAGAGTGGGTGGAGGGGTATATATAGCCTCCACACAAAATCTAACTATTACACACAACTTACCAAACTCGGTGGGACCGAATCGTGAAACTCGGTCAGACTGATTTAGTTCATAATGTGACCGTTAGGCATTTCGATGGGACCGACACGTCAACTCGGTGGGACCGATATCGCTAGGATTGGGGCATAACGTAATCTCGGTGAGACCGATTACATAAACTCAATGAGACCGATTTTGGTAATAAGCTAACCAGAGAGTTGGTCAGGCAAACTCGGTGGGACCGATTCGCTCATCTCGGTTGGACCGAAACGTTACAAAAGGGAAACAGAGAGTTTGCATTGCAATCTCGGTGGGACCGATCGCTCATCTCGGTTGGACTGAAACGTTATGAAGGGAAACAGAGAGATTACAATCCCATCTCGGTGAGACCGAGATCCCTATCTGTGAGACCGAAAAGACTAGGGTTTGTGGCCATGGCTATGTCAATTGAACTCGGTGGCGGCGGATAGAAAGTTTCGATAGGGCCGAGTTTGACTTTTGGTTTGGGACATATGTGGATGTGAGAAAGTAGTTGAGGGTTTTTGGAGCATATCACTAAGCACTTTTGAGCAAGAAACTCATTAAGCAACACCTCATCCCTCTTGATAGTATTGGCTTTTTCTATGGACTCAATGTGATCTTGGATCACTAAAAGTAAAATGTAGAGTCTTGTGCTTTGAGCTTGAGCCAATCATTTTGTCCTTCACATTTTGAGGGGTCCACGTTTCTCATTCATGCCATGCCAAACATTGAGCTTTTCTGAAATATTTATCTTGAAATAGCATTAGCTCAATGAGCTATATGTTGTTAGGAATTACCAAAACCACCCAGGGATAGTTGCACTTTCAAAGAACTATACCTAGTCTAGTAATTTCTCATAGGACACCCATTGAACTTGATGAAATCTTGGTAGAGTCTTTATTATAGTAAATCCCGAGGATGGTATTGATGTTATTTTTGAACTATTTAATAGTGGGTCTTTAGGTAACATGTTTTTACTTGAAGTTGTTTTTTGTGCTTCTCCTATATATACATTTAAAATGACGCTTATAATTTTTTGTTAATCCAGAAATAATTAGTTTGGTTGAATCTGATGCTTTCCATAGTTATTAAAATGCAAAAGCTCTTGCCCATTTCAATAAGATGCTTTCTATTGCTAATATTTTTTCTAAGAAAGATATGAACCCAACTTACCTTTTCCCTTTTTCACTTAAAGATGGCACTAAAGCTTGGTATAATAACACAATGACTAGAAGCATTACTAGTTTGTAAGAATTTGTTAGTGCTTTTATGGATAAATATTTTTCTTTGCATATGAGATAATTAGTTTTGTAGGATAGATATTTATAACTTTACCAAAATTGAGGAAGAGAGTCCCCTGCAAGCTTAGGGGAGGTTTTGTGAGTTGGAAAGGAATGCTCCTAATCATCCTACTAAGAAAAATGAGATGGTTGATATATTCTATAGCGCTATAACCCTAAAGAAGAGATGCATGCGTTTTCTAATTCCAGAAGATATGAAAGAAGCCAAGAAATATCCTAAGAAAAAATTTATTAAAGCTGAATATGTCAAGAATTTACCTTCTAATTTCCATTTAAAAGGTGACTTCAAATTTTCAACTATTTCAAAAGAGTGATTTCACTCATTTTAACAAACAAATTTCACTCATTTCAAAATACCGAGTTGCACTAATTTTTTGCAAAAAGATTTCACTCAATTTAGAAAAATAATTCAACTCATTTCAAAACACACACTCAATGATTTCAAAAGGCTGAATTTTTTAAATGAGCATTTCAATGGCAACAAATGTTATCCATTTCAATAACAACAATCGTATCCATTTCAATAACCAAAACAGCAGTCTCAGAACACAACAGTACCGATATCATTTATCAAAACCATACCAATTCATATGTGAAACTGAATATGCTATTTTGTTATTTTTATTTCACTTTGAATGCATATGAAATTATCGCTTCACTTATTTCAAGGAAAATTAAATGAATCCAATTTTTTCAAAATTTATTTTATTTATTTAAATTGATTGGGGCATCAAAATTTAAACATGGTTAGAACATATCCAATACCGATCTTTTCCTAAAGACCATGCCGTTACATTTTGAGATTGACGAAGTCGAAGTAGCCACAGACGCCTTCACGAGAACGTCCCCTCTCACTGAAAGCACATTGCCGGAAGGCCTGGAATAAACCCAGAAAAAAACGAGCACCAATGTAAGTCTGAAACTTGAACTCTGACTGACAGTGGATACCACTGTCTTTCTAACCATCCGACCACAGGTTGATTCGCTTTACGTGGGTCGTTAGATATATACAACTGATGTGGACCTTTAGCTGCACGATTCATGATGGTACTGCTAGTTTGACTGTTTACGTACCAGCACCGGTTTGAGGGAGGGACACCGGAAAATTCTCCATGCTACTCCTAGTACGCAGGTGGTTTCCTTTGCACCGATCCGTCCGAAACAGCGTCCACCGAAAGGCGTCGAACCGTCCGTGGATTCTCTCGCGCGCCGTGGATCCATCGTCGTCGAGCCCATGGTTTTGCTCCTGTCCCACCTGCACAGTCGCATGCACAAATATCCCAGCCGCTCCTCTCCTCCTTCCCCCACCACCACCACCTTTCCTTCTTCCTTCCTTCCTTCCGAGGCGTGCGCTGCTGGTGATACGTGCCGACCGATGGGCGCGGGTGCGGCGGGGCTGGACGTGCCCGCCAAGCGGAGGCGGGTGCTGGCGGCCAAGACCAGAGGAGGCAGGCCGCGGCAAGCGAGGAGACGTGCTCAGCCGCAGCCGCCGACGGCGCTGCAGCGCCTCTTCCGCGCCTGCCGCGCCGTCTTCAGGGGCCCCGGCACCGTGCCCGCGCCACACGAGGTCGCCCTGCTCCGGGCCATGCTCGGTACGACGCACCCCTCGCTCGGCTCCTCCATGTTCCGCGTGTTCAAAATTCCAAATGCTGTGGATCCGCAAACTGACCGACTGACTCAAGATGATGTGTTCTGGATTGATGACTGAATTCTGGTTATTTATCTGCAGACAGAATGAAGCCAGAGGACGTCGGCCTGAGCCCAGGCATGACATTCTTCAGGACTAGAGATATTGCGGCCCCAGGGAACCCAACCATCACACACACCACCATCTACGAATCTGACAATTTCTCGGTAATTAAGCAAAAAAATCAGCATGTCCCATCTCAATTTTGCAGTGCATGCTGTTGCTAGCTAGCTGACTAGTATGTAAAAATGAATCACTAGTACGTAATTGCTGACCTTTCTTTTTCTTGCCTCTTCACAGATGGTCATCTTGTACCTGCCGCAAAATGCGGTCATCCCTCTACACAATCACCCCGGGATGACCGTGTTCAGCAAGCCGCTCATCGGATCGATGCACATAAAGTCGTATGACTGGGCTCATCCCGATGATCCAGCCGCCTCATCGCCCGACGATCAACGTGAGCTTCCGAGCCATCCTACATAGTACAGTTTCCATGCTGATTTGCTGTCAACAATAACACGTTGGGGCTTGATTGCTTTTGCTTGCAGTGAGGCTGGCGGAGCTGGTCGTGGATGATCTCTTCACCGCTCCGTGCGACACGTCGGTCCTCTACCCGACGGCGGGAGGCAACATGCACCGGTTCACGGCCATTGCGCCATGCGCCATCCTCGACATCCTTGGCCCCCCTTACTCCATAGAGGAGGAACGGGATTGCACCTACTACGCGGATGTTCCCTACTCCTCCCATCATCCGAGTAAGTTGTTGGCAATCTTGATCTCAGAAATCTAATCCAGATAATTAACATCATGATCATGCATGCATTGACTTGCTACTAGCTAGTACTCCCTCCTTTCCTAAATATAAGTCTTTGAAGAGATTCCACTATGAACCACATACTGATATATGTAGATGTATTTTAGAGTGTAGATTCACTTATTTTGCTCCGTATGTAGTCCATAGTGAAATCTCTACAAAGACTTATATTTAGGAACGGAGGGAGTAGATCTGAATGAAATGTCCTTTATGGAAAAAAAACTAGTAGTTTTGAATTACTGCAGCATGCATGCAACTGGAAAAGCATGAGCTCATATTGTATTTTGCACCATCAAAAACAGTATTAGTTTGCCTTGTGAGCAGCCCACTGAATGTGGAGAGAGGTCTGTTAGTTAAGTCACAACCTGCAGCCTATGGGTAGTATCTATCTTTGTTTATGGTACACGCTCCATTTGCATCCTGTGGACATGATTAACTCTCTTAATTAATAGTGTAAGCACACGGTTTTAAGCCCCGGCCCCGTGGGTTTTAGAAGCGCCGGATGTCGAAACCACTTGGACGTAAACCATGCATGTTCTCAACGACACTAGCCGTCCATGATGTAGCTAGCTTCACCCCCGAAGATATTTAGGGCTCCTTCGAGGCTTGAACATTGGTCGGTAATCACGTGATGACCGATGATGCTTTTGCTAATTAACTACGTTTACAGCTTGCTCATTACACTGGTGTGTAACCCAAGGCTAACTGATTTGTCTCCTCTTCTAGTGACACTGACCAGCAATGAGCAACAAGGCCGGCGCCTCGCGTGGCTGAAAGAGGTCGAGAGGCCGAGCGATCTGAAGATGCGCACCGTCCCGTATGGCGACCCGCCGATCTCCGACGGGTGATTGGGCCCCCGGCGGCGCCCTTCTTTCCAGCCCTTCAAGATGATGACAAACAACTCAAGCAACTCAAACCCCAACTCAAACAAGATGATGTCAGAATCGTTTGGCGTATGAATATAGCAGCAAAGCTAGCTTAGGTTTCAGTTTGTGCATGATGTCTCAGTGAGTGATGGCAGTTTATCATGTAAGAGTGCTTGCCTGCCTGCTTTTGCAGCAGCTGTGTGTGTGCGGACCTTGTCCAGATCCTTTGCTGATCTTTGTCAATGCATAGATCATCCATATATTTCACTTCTACTTGGCCTCTATATTCCCCTCTCTTTTTGGTTAAAAATGTTGCATGCTCTGCCCAATTCTTTATGGAATTTGAGATTCTTATACGTTCCTGTTTCCCCATATTTCTCACACTACTTGGGCTTTCAATTTTTTAAAACTTTCATTTTTTTTATTTTTTTAAATAATATGATTTTTTAATTTTCCAACTGTTTCCACATATCTCTTGGACTACTTGGATTTTCAATTTCTAGAAAGTTCAAATAATACGATTCTTTAAATTTACGTACATGTTTCCACATATCTCATGGACTACTTGGACTTTCGACTTTTAAAACTTTTAATTTTTTTAATTTAAATAATATGATTCTCTAAATTTCTCTACCTTTTTTTTGTCATGATATCATCTGCTTATTTGGCCAAATTCATCTTTTTATAGGTTTAACAGTGTCATAAAAACCGCCTCAAATGGTTAGATATTAAAAAATATTGGTTGAAGGGAAATGTATCTTGCAGTCATACTAATTAAGTTCATAATATGGGGCTAATAGTAATTCAATTATTCAAAACAAATCGTGAATTTAGAAATTTCATGAAGTTTTTAAAAGTTAAAGAATTTTAAAATAAACATTTTTTAAAACATTCATACAATTTTAAAAATGTACCCGTAGTTTCTGAAAGATGTCCACGTAATTAATTAAGTAAACGTTCACATTTTTTATAGAAAAAAAGAAAAGAAAAAACACTGAAAACTACAAGAAAAGCGAAAACAAAAGAGGAGTCTCTGCCAATACTCAAGAAGCTAATATATTACTTCCCTTTGGAAATGAACAAGACAATGCAGCCCAAATTAAAGTAGGCCGAGTGTCGAACACATTTCCAGGTTATGGTAAACCGCTAGTTGACGCCCAACGAGTCGCGGTGGACCGGCCGAGTTTGGGGCTTCACCGTCACGCTTCTGTATTTTCGTTCACAATTTTTTTCTCGTTTTCCGTTTGTGTGTTTTCTGTTCTCTTTTATTTATTTACTTATTTTACTATTAATTCTTAAGTCCTTTTTCCGATTTATTTTATTCTGGTTTGTTTTAAAAAAAATCAAATTGTAAATTTCAAATAATGTTTGTCTTTCTGATTTTTGTTGGAACTTCAAAAAATGTTCCACCTTTTAATAATGGTTTATTTTTAAAAAAGAGACATTGAGGTGAACTTTAAAAAAAATACATTTCGTGGAGTATTTTGTTCTACTTTTTGCAGTTAGGCGACGCTACACGTCGGCCGGCGGATCTTTCTAAAAGATCCGCCGCCTCCGCATCCGTTTGATCTGGGGCCATCCAGCGGCCTGGCCCCTTCCTCACCATTGCAATAAAGTGAGTGTTGCAGAACCCTTTGCAACAGATCTCTTGTTGCAAAAACATTTGCAATAGAGGTTCTGTTGCAGATTTTTATTTCGCCTGAACTCTTTTGAAACATGAGTGTCACTGCAGAAGGACTTTTGCAACATAGATGATGTTGCAGAAGTTTTTTCGTCTTAAGTTTTCTACAATATGGACGTTGTTGCGGAAGGACTTTTGTAACACAGATGATGTTGCAGATTTTTTTTCCTTGTCTTAATTTTTTTGCGACATGGGTGTTGTTGCAGAAGGACTTTTGCAACACAGTTGATGTTGCGAAAAAACAGTCAAGTGGCAGAGGCACGCGTCAAGGGGTGGGGGTCCTTGGCGATTGTTGGTCGGCTGATCAAATTATATATGACGGTTGCGCATGCGGCGGAAGTGTATCGGCCAGCTGATTCTAATCTTTTCCCTTTCCATTTTGGATTCCATTTCGTCTATACACGCACAAAAGAATTGGCGTTTCAACATTTGGTGTATGTCGACGTCTAACTTTTTTTGTTTTTGTTATCGGTTTCTTGGCTACATGCCTACATCCATCGGTTGTCTTTTCTTACTTCTGAGCTGAAGAAAACAGACGCCGTGCATACACTCTATATTCTTATTCTTGGCCTTGCTTGCATGGTTGTATTTCGTCTTGCTTCCCGCAAGAGCAGAACAACCGATGTCGCCGGCAAAACTTAGCGTCACACAATTAGTAGCCGTGGTGTAATATCAAACCTAAAAGAATCATATATGCGTATACATAACTGTATCAGATATTAGAGCTGGTTTGCAGAGTTTTTTCATCTTCTTTTTTGGGCTGTGTTTGCAGAGTTAAATTATGTGGTTTGAATTTTGAATCTCGTCCGGGAAACCTTTGTACGGGTCCATCTACCTGCAGCATCTCATATATATGATGCTTCCGTGAGAAAGCTTGCATTACCAGGTCAAAAGGGAAAGAGAAAAGTCCGTATTTCAACCCTGAACCAACCAGGCAGTTTGATTTACAACCTTCATCTTTGAAACCGGTCACATTACACCCTCAATTTATCACATACGTAGTTCAAAACACAACCCTTGACTCGGGTTTGGCTTGGTCAACTGGTTTTGACCGAGTCAAACCTGACTAGGCAGCCAACTCAGCAGCTGAACTATCCCTAAAACTGTTGGAGCTGGCTTCTCCGTTCGTAGCCGGCGAGCGGCGGCACTTCACCATGGAACCGAGGAGGGTAAAGAGGAGAGCTGGAGCGTGCACCAAGAGGCCGGTGGAGCTTGCACACGGGACAAATAGGACGTCACTGCAGGCCGCGCATGCCACCCGAGCTTGCGCACGTGCACGACGACGGATCCCCTCTGGCCCTCGTGCGAGCTCGCCTACACGTCCTTCCGCCGAGGTACCCCGTCCTTGCCGCTTAGCTGCTGTTGCTGCTGCGTCCAACGGCCGCGTATCGGCCCCTGGTGAGCTGCAGCGCCGCCCTTTGCGGGTGGCCGAAGTTCTGGACGTCGTCGGGGCGGCGTCAGCTCTGGTGGTGCGGAGCACCTTGGTGACGGGGCTCCACTGCCTGGCGGATACAGCCCGTGGCGGCGGCGCCGCCGCCGGTCGCCGGCCGACGGGGTCGTAGCTGTGGCTGCAGGGGCGGCGAGCCTTGGCGTCAGGCGACCCAGGTGACGGCTACGGGATTGGGTCGGGGTGACGTGTGAACGGACATAGAGAGAGGGAGAGAGATCTAGGTCAGGATATGTGCGTTGTGGCTGCTTAGTTGGCTGCCTAGTCAGCTTTCACTTGGTCGAAACCAGTTTTTTTTTTAGCGGAAAAACTTCCAATCTATTCATCTTCAATCATGGAAGTACAACGAATACCAGAAATAAAAATTACATCTAGATTCGTAGACCACCCACCGACGACTATAAGCACCGAAGCGAGCCGAAGGCGTCGCCGTCATCGCCCCTCCATCGCCGGAGCCGGGCATAACTTGTTGTAGTAGACAGTCGGGAAGTCGTCATGCTAAGGCCCCATAGGACCAGCACCCCAGAACAGCAACCGTCGCCGATGAAAAATAACGTAGATCGGAAGGATCCAAACCGAAGACACACGAACGTAGACGAACAACGACGTGATCCGAGCAAATTCATCAAAGATAGATCTGCCGGAGACACACCTCCACACGTCCACCAACGATGCTAGACGCACCGCCGGAACGGGGGCTAGGCGGGGAGACCTTTATTCCATCTTCAGGGAGCCGCCGCCGTCTCGTCTTCCTGAGTAGGACACAAACTCTAACAAGATTGAAAAAATGACTAAAAACGGAGCCCTCCCACCGGCTCTTGCCAGGATCCACCGCGCCTCCATGGCCCTAGGGCCACCGGAGACGAGGCGGACCTGCGCCGGCGAGAGGCACGGACCCTAACTTTTTTTCTTGAAGGAGGAGGAGGAGCACATTGCTGCGCTTTTTGGTCAAAACCAGTTGACCAGGCTAAAACCGAGTAAGGGTTGTGTTTTGAACTGTTTGATAAGTTAAGAGTGCAGTGTGGCCGGTTCTAAAGATGAAGGTTGTAAATCAAACCGCCTGGTTAGTTCAAGGTTGAAATGTGGACTTTTCTCAAAGGGAAAACTTGCATTATCATGTTATTAAAAACTTGGTTGGCCAGTTTTGCACGTATATTACAACTATTAAGATCTTGTAAGATTTTTTTCGGAAAAATGACCCAAGGTGCTATAGATAGCTCCACGCCAAATGGACATGACAAAACCCAGACCTTAATCTTGACCATCAAATGCTATATCTGGACTAATTAACAAGGCCTATATGTATCGGTTTTTGCCCTGTTTTTCGTTAATTAATCGGGCAATTATCTTCTTCTTAATTAGGATCCATGCGTGTGGACGAGTTGCCAGATGCGTGTGGACCTATCGAAACCACGCAAAAAACATACGTGTCTCCAACTGCGTTTGAATCCTCCAAACCCTTCCCTTTACTTTCTTGCAAGTTGCATGCTTTAATTTCCGCTGCCTATATACTCTTTACATGCTTGCTTGATTTGAGTGATGATTGCTTGACTCGTCCAAAGATTGTTAAAATCTGTCAAACTCTAAAATTGGAAAAAGGTTAAGTTTTTAATTGGTCAAGTAGTCTAATCATCCCAGTCTAGACATACTTCAAGGTCCTACAAGGGGCTGCTTGGTATACGGCGGTCCGGTGTCATGGCGTGTGGTGGGACGATGATGGAGGGCGCAGCGGTGGCGGATCATTTGTGCTTGCCGCGCTGCCGTTGTTGGCTTTTATTTCTTCTTCTTTTCCCTTTTGGGCTTGGTGCGCCGTTCATCCCGACAGGCGACAATTACCCTATGATCGGTGTCTGT